GTTTATACATCATTAAATGTACTGTTTAAATTCACTTTTTAAATGTGAGGGAAGCAGTATTAGTAGACAGTACAAGGATCAATTTACTGACAAGCTTCATGTTGGTATGAGGAGAAAGCACAGTGACAGAGAGGTGGTGAGCTCTCCCTCCAGTTATAGGCTGGGATGGTTCCATGACAGCCTAGGACAGAGGAAGTAGGTAAATGATGCTCGATGTCAGACTGCACATCTAGTGGCAGAAAATAGTACAAGGGATAACTTTGGCTTGAAGGGAAATATTGCAGAAAAAAGCATTTTCATTTTTAAATTTTTTCTTGTCATTTTTCGCTGGAGCTCAGCTTTGGACAAAACTGCTTCTGTTAAATAAAAACAATCATGTATAGAATATTTATTATGCTACACAACAAATTCAAATGTATCGCTTGCTGCAAACTTAGTCCCCATCAGTGATTTATAAATGATTACTGTTAGAGATTGCCAGGCAGCTAGCAATTTCAAAAGGTCAACCATATTTCTCTCAATACAGGTGGTCATCAGAAAAATGTTATTTTGGAAAATAATGTATTATCTACCTGAATATTATATTAACACTCCATGCAATAAATAAAGCAATGCTGATAGTTATAAACATCATCCACTTTAATTATTTAACATTCAGCAAAGTGAAATACCTAATACATAATAGCAAATCAACTTGTATTCAAAATGATGCACTGTAGGTACGTTGAACACATTATAAGTCTGGACTAACCCACCATAACTAATATAAAGTGACAATTGTGAATATGATAATGACAATATTTTTCACATGTAATATTGCTTTAATACTCATTTTTTTATATTAAAATAATTTAATGAACATTTGCAGTAGAGAAAATCATGCATAGTAAAAATATACAATAAATGAGCAAATGGCTAATTTGTATAAAATAGTTTCAAGTATTGTTTTATGCACTAATAACAAATTAAATAAATAAGAAAAATAGTGAGATGTTACCATACAAAAAACAAAATAAATTAAAATACAGAACTAATACTCTTCTATGATTTTATGTTAAAACAAAAGACAGGTTTGTAGTTATTAAAACATTATTTCTGGGAAAAACTAAAATCTGTTGTTTGCTTTAAACCTGTACAGTGATAAAGAGGTTCCTACATCACGCTGACCACTTGCAAGTCAAAGAAGGATTGTTTACATTGCTTGGTGGTCTGAAGTTCATCCTTCACATGTTACTATGCCTGTAGAATTTATTTATTTATTTCAGGTACTTATATAGCGCTGTCAATTTACGCAGTGCTTTACATATATTTTGTACATTCACATCAGTCCCTAACCCTCAAGGGGTGTACAATCTAAGGTCCCTAACTTACATTCATACATAAACATACTAGGGACAATTTAGACAGGAGCCAATTCACCTACCAGCATGTCTTTGGAGCATGGGAGGAAACCGGAATACCCAAGGAAACCCACGCAGGCACAGGGAGAACATGCAAACTCCAGGCAGGTGGTGCTGTGGTTGGGATTCGAACAGACAACCCTAGTACTGCCAGGCAGAAATGCTAACCATTTAACCACTGTGCTGCCATAATAATATTATATTTCAATGATTGTGCAGCAATATAGGATCTCACCTTCAGGTAAACTATAACATTTAGTCCAGATTAACCACACTAACTGCACCTTTCAAGGGAATGAAAGCTATATCTTACAAGCTTAAAATTTGAGCTGGACGGAGCATGCATACCCAAAACCCTGTACCAGAGTATCCACCAGTGGTCTCCAGGGGGCCTGGATTTGACCCTTTGCTTGTCTTTATCTGGCCCTTGAGGCATTATTCCTGTCACTGGCAGCAACAATGTGACATAATTCCTGCCACTGACACCACAAATGGGGTACTATTCCTCCCACTGACAACAAACGATGGGGATATAATTCCTCCCACTGACACCAAAGATAGGGCATGATTTCTCCCCCAAATACTAAAGATAGGGCATTGTTTGCTTCCACTGGGCCCCCATAAAATTTGAGGGACAATAAACCGGCCCTTTGTTTAGAATGTTTGGAGACCCCTATTATACACCGCAGATTCTCCAGAGAGTTTAGGAGATAATGAAGGTATGCCAGTGCACACTCCAAATGAGTTTAAAGTCAGCAAGATGACATCAGAATGAATGACAGAAAGTTATGATACAAAAAAAAACAATTATCTAGTGTGAACATCAGCAATTACACATTTTCAAAAACCGCTGACCTAATAACACATTAAAGGGAACCTGTCTAGATGATATATAGAAGCTACTACATCTGACATGTTTTTAATGTTTTTACAGAACATGGTCCAGGGCTGTCATCTTTATTCTTCCTACTACTTGGTTAGTCATCCACTTGGAACAAGCATGTGTACGTCATGTGTTGCAACCCCAAGAAAGTGGACATAAGCTGGCCATAGGCAGTTTGAATCTCAGCCAGTTCAGCAGGGACCAGCAAAGATTCGAACCATCTATGAGTAAGGTGACTACACAAATCAATTGTTGTACGATTTGGGTACAACCAGCCTGTCAGACTTTTCATGCAATTATTGCCAGCGGATATAGCCACTAGCAATAATAACGGTGTTCTCCCTGCAGGAAAGGTTGCCCCGCGTGCCCCTACCCTTCCTAGTCAGAAGAATACAATAGCTCCTTGGCAGGGATTCCCCCATCAACAGTGACTGTGTTGATTGGGGAATCAAGCAATTTTCTTTCCTTTACCCTTGATTGCAGGAAAGAAAATTGCATCATCTACAGTCTAGACAACCTTATCATTCAAACAGTGTTAGGCAGGTCAGTTTTAAATGACATAACACAGTATGCACTCTGCAGATGCTCTATTGCCCAGTCCCACTTTGTTATCCATTCTGCATGATCCAGGGCTACCATCTTTATTCCTTCTACTACATGGTTAGTCATAGATTTGGAACAAGCAGATGTATATAATGTGTTGGGACACCAGAAAGTGAACCCAGTCTAGACAATGTTATCATTCAGTGTGAGAGCATGTCAGTTGTGAATGAAATAGCACTTACAGTAAGCACTCTCTCTATTGCCCACTTTATCATTCACTCTGCATTGGTGTAGAGTGAATGATTTTCTTCCATTTTGGAAGAAAATCATTGTTGTTTTGAATAAAAGGCGGGCTATATCCCGCAAAAGAATGTGAGTGGTCTGGAGAGATTATTTGGAGGAGAGATTACTACGGTATCACGCTATGGTCTTTTCTTTTTCCTGATTTTCTTGGGGGATTCGGTGAGAGGAGTAAGCAGCAAGAGGTACCCAAATATAAGAGGAAACAGCATTTGGAGGTCTCACAAAAGTAAAGGGGGTCCAGGAGCCCTTAATATTCCTGAAAGGCGTGTGACTTACTAATATCTGGTGAGTGCGGTGAATGTTGATTTCTGCACTGGTGGATGGTGAAGGGATCAGTAACACGGAAGAATCCAATGATAATTATAAATTGATTTATTTTTGTCACGGGACTGTTAAATATATATTTTTTTTTTTTTTGGGGGACTTTTTCGATTTTTTATCACTTGATTTTTTTTGTCACTGGACTTACGAATTTAATTTAATGTTTTTATTTTTATATTAATTTATTTATATATTATTTATTATATATATCTTTATTAGCAAAAAAATGATTTTTCAAGTTGAGTAATGCAATTGAATATGTGGGTTTGCGCTGGTTTTCATTGTTAAAAGTTTTTTGGTCTTTGTACCTGTGCACAAAGCAGCATCTCACGGGGATTTGTGTGTTTAAATAGGAGAGTCCTGGGCGCTGAGGTTTTGTTTTTTACTTTACATCATCTAACCACATGACTTTCTCCCATGCCTCCTCTGGATCATCCAGATGGTCATTGACAAACTTCAGACGGGCCTGGACATGTGATGACTTGAGCAGGGGAACCTTCCATGCAATGCATGATTTGAAACCATGACGGCGTAGTATTCTACCGACAGTGACCTTTGAAACTGTGGTCCCAGCTCTCTTCATGTCATTGACCAGCTCCTCCCTTGTAGTTCTGGGCTGATTCCTCACCTTTCTTATCATCAGTGATACCCCACGAGGTGAGATCTTGCATGGAGCCCCAGTCCGAGGGAGACTGACAGTCATCTCTAGTCTCCTCCATTTTCTAACAATTGCTCCAACAGTTGATCTATTTTCACCAAGCTGCTTGGCAGTTGCCCCGTAGCCCTTTCCAGTCTTGTGGAGGTCCACAATTTTGTCTCTGGTGTCTCTTTGGTCTTGCCCATGGTAGTAGTTGGCATCTGACTGACTGTGGGGTGGACAGGTGTCTTTAAAGAGCTCAGACAGGTGCTACTAAGTTAGATTAATGAGTGGAGTAGAGGTGGACTTTTTAAAGGCACAGTAACAGGTCTTTGAGAGACAGAATTCTTGCTGTTTCTTAGGTGTTCAAATACTTATGTTCAGCAGTGCAAGACAAATAAATTCTTTAAAAATCATACAATGTGATTTCCTGAATTTGTTTTTTTTAATTCTGTCTCTCAGAGTGGGAATGCACCTACAATGTGAATTTCAGACCCCTTCATGATTTCTAAGTGGGAGAACTTCGCAGGGTGTTCAAACACTTCTGTTCCTCACTGTATAGGCTGAGCATCTGCTGCTATTCACATCAGTTATCAGAAGTAGGAGTGGGTTCTATAAGCAAAATGCTTGATAGGCTCCCATAATGCTGGAAGAGGAAAGGTGCCTAGACACGATCATCTAGAAGTGTTCTGCTGCATTAAATTGGGAGTTAAATACTAAAGACACACGTTTAGGTGATTGTTTTACACAAAAAATTGTGCTAATTAATCCATGTCACACAAGGAAGTATACAAATGACATCCCAGGACCATGTATCTCCAAAAGCAATTCAACAATGAGTGATCTCGTATTTCTATACTAAGAGGTTCCTTTCAAGATTACTTGGTAAATGTTAGCTGTCTACAATACAAGGTTACTTCTTTTCTGCAATTATACACCAGTTGCCATGGTCAAAGCAGCAACTGATAATATGCAGTTCTGGGACATCACTCTCCAAAAGACTACGTAGTTCTCCCTCACGGAACACGTGGTAATATCTCAAAAATGCCTTGGAGTCTGACGTATCAGCCTCCTGATCGCTAGCAGCTACTGTTTCATCCAGGACAGAATCGCTGGACTCGGTGGTAGATGTTCTCTTTAATACTCTGCTTTGGTTACGCTTATCGCTCTCATTGCTACAAATGCAACTGCAGTGCTTAGACTCTGTCTGAAAATCAGCTTGCTTTGTGCCATCCTGAGCCAATTCACAGTGCTTTCCATTTGATGTTTTTGAGGAATCTAAAGTTAGAAACCACTGCTGCTTTTCGTGTGAACTGTTTTTAATGAAAACATCATCATCATCAAAGCTGTGCTCCTTGAGTATTAATCTCTGATGTCCAAGGTCTAGACTACAGTGTCGTGATGGCTGCACGGATACAGTACTATTCACCCAACCACTGACAGGGCTCAGAGATTTCATTTTGTCTATCTGCCTCCTTAAAGAGGACTCATCAAGGGATCGAGAGAAGAACCAGGAACGGATTGATCTTCCAATGGCACTGTAGAGTCTTGTGTCTTCATTAGACAACTTAATGCAGCACGATTCAGCTGCTATACAGTTGCCGGAATTGTGTGCTTGTTTAGATTCCAACGTTTGTCTCAGATTATGTAAATTGATGGTCTCATCTTCTCTCATTGACTTCAAGGCTGTGTTGTGCTGCTTGAAATTCAAAGCAGAGTTCTGTCTGCTTTCACATTGGCTTGTGTCAGAGGTGCATCGAGGCAGCAAAGCTTTGTTCCATGGCACAAACACGTCCTGCTTTTCAAACCTGCGGCTCTTTTGTTCCATGGCCCATACATATAGCATTATCTGACCACCTGGAAGCAGGATTCTGGACATTTCTTTTATTGCACGGATTCTTCTTTGTTTGGTGGAAAAATGATGAATAACTAGAACAAAAATACAGAACCCAGCATTATCTGTCAACATATTAATAAATGCTCTTCACTTTGCTTTTAAAATATAATCTTTTTTCTCTATTGCCTAACAAAAGAACATTGTGAACCGAGAACTGACTAGCAATTGTCACCATTTCCATAATTCTCAGTGTAGCTGCAATGATTACAATTATTGTTTTTTAAGGTGACAAATCAAAATGATATATTTTTTTAACAAGGATAAATCTGTGCATGAAATATTAAAGTGTTACTAAACCCACAACAGTAAAATCAGTCTGTAAAGCATGGTTGTTGTACTCACTGTGGAACCTAAGGGGTTAATCCTCTGCATTGTGTAAAAAAAAGGCTGTTTGATCCTGTCTTCTCTGATCCTCCCCTGCTTCTACTGTCCCCAATCCATCTGTTGATAGTACAGAGCTCTTGGAGTCACTCTGCATGTGTTCAGTTTAGTGTGTATTGATATAGTTTTCTTCTATTTTCTTTGGGAGGGTGCATGTGATCAGCACAGAGCAAATCAGCGCTGTCCAGACAGAGGGTCAGGGGTTACACAGCCTCATAGGACAGTCAGAGGAAAATGAAAAAAACTCCTCCTACAAGCCTTAACCAGTGCTCAGCTGGACACTGATAGAAGTCACCAGACTACTATATACTGCTGATGAAAGAAGGTATTTAGCAGTTTATATTCACTACAATAATTGCATTTTCATGTAGTGTACTGTTGCAGACCAGATATAGTGAATGCAGGATCATGGGTTTAGTAACACTTTAAATTAAATATATGGTTTGATGAAGGATAACAAATATCTTACCATCTCTAAATATTTTTTTTTTCAAAAGGATCATATAAATTTGATATATGTTTAAAATTAAAGTGGTTCTAAAGGCAGAAAATTTTTTATCATACTGCACTCCCTGCATTAAAGTGATTGTACAGACTTTTTAAAAAAAATAGCAAACGGGTATATAGTTAACTGCTCTGTGCAATGGGATTGCAGAGTGGCCCTGAACCTCCTCTTCTTGGGTCCCCCACTGGTGCTCCTGGCACCTTCCCATGGGAAGCAAGCTGCTTCCTATGGGGGTACCCGTGCGGGTTGAATCCAAAGCCGCGCTCCCTTTGTCCATAGACACAGACAGCGCAGCTTGGCCCTGCCCCCACTCTCTCACTACAGGATTTGACAGACAGCAAGTGGCTTGCTATAGTGGCACATGCAAAACAGAAGAAGCCTAGAGCGCCAGTGGTGGACCCCAGAAGAGAAAGTTCATGGCCACTCTGTGCAACACTAGTACCAGAATGCAAAAAAGAGACATGGAGCGCAGTGATGCTGGCATGATTGCAGGAAAGGAAGGAAATAAAATCAGAAAGAGACAGGCAGTGGGGACAATAGAGAACATAGACATAAAAAAAATTCCGGCATTTGAAGAAACCAATCTAAAATGTAATATTAAGGGATCACAAAAGCACAATCTAGAAGCATAATGAACAAACATGGATGCCCCCACGCACATACAGATTTTCAAACCAAACTCAGAAATGCGGTTTTTTAAAACATTTGTAAACATTGATGGAATTATCTGTATGAGACTGATCAATTTAACAGGTGTATCTAAAGACACAAAAAAGGTAGAAATTAAAGGTAATGATAAATCACATAAAGATTCCAGTATATGAACAAAGGCCATTTTGTTAGTGTGTTGAGTTCAGCTAGTATTAGTTAGTCAAATTTAACATTATTCTGTAATGTTGAAGAAATTTGCTGCTTATCTAAACAGCTTCAATGAGTGCCCGAATCTTACCCCAGTTGAGACAAAATATTTGCTGCCACTGTATACTATGCATTTTCACTATACAAAATAAAACTTCAATCTATATTTAAAGGACAATTCAATGACATTTTATAACCATCAGCACTGACAGTAGCCTTCTTTCCACGGAAGAATCAGCAAACTGTCAGATTGCTTACCTTGATGCACATCATGAAAAGTGACAATACTTGGATCTTCTGCAATATGTCAGTAGTATAAGGAACAGCAGAACTAACTAGCAACTTAGAACTGACTAGAACTGATATAAGGACTAGGAGAGAAATGGAATGTAGAATACTGTCATGCCCACCATTTTTTATTTATATCTAAAGTGGTTGCAAATAGGTAGGGAATAACGACAGATATGTGCCAATAACTGTACCAAAAAATAAAACTTTAAATGTACTGTATATTATAGTTTAGCCACTAGAGAAGCACTGCCCATATGTCCCTAAAACTGGGGTCTCCAAACTGAAGCCCTTTCCTAGCCTTTATCTGGCCCTTGGGGCACTATTCCTTTCAATGATATGATGCAATATTCCTCCCATTGACACCAACAATGGAGCACCATTTCTTCAAAAGATACCAATGATGGGGTATTATTCCTTCCACTGATAACAATGATGGGCCACTACTGACCACCAACCCTGAGGCCATGTTTATTCTCACTTATGCTTGGCTCAGGACATTTTCTACCCCCGCTAGCCATACTCCAGCCCCCCTAAATTCTGCAAACCTGCACTAGTTTCTATTTCACTCTGAAATTAGAATTGCGCAGGTGGTGCAGATAGACCTTAAAAGGGTCAGTTTGCTTAATTAAAAAGGTGTGTCACTCCTGACGGTTTCCTGCGCCATTATCTTGGTAATTCCCCGGAGTTCATATAAAAATACTCCTTAAAGAGGAACTATGACACTGCAGGTCCCCAGAGCTCTTTCCATAATGCCAAGTATATACAGCACACTTGTACATTATGGCAGACTTGCTTCCCAAAGTGTCCTACTCCAGTGATGTGTCTGCTTTCCCCCTCATCACTGTTGCTGCAATCTCCTCTTGGTTTTCTCTGAAATCAGGAGTCCTCTTGTTTTTTTATTCGATGACCATGGATGAAAGTGCATCTGCTTGAAAAGGTACTTAATTCCAGCACCTGACATCTTACAACTGATGAGATTGTGCGCTGCAATCAGTGTACAATTTGAATTACCATTAAAGTGGTTGTAAAGGCTCAAGATTTTTTACCTTCATGCATTCTATGCATGAAGGTAAAAAACCTTTAGTTTGCAGTAGCCCCCCCCCCAGCCCCCCTAATACTTAACTGAGCCTCATCACGATCCAGCAAAATGCATGAGAGTCTCAGCTGTCCCAGGTTTCTCCCTCCTCATTGGCTGAGACAGTAGAGTGAGCCATTGACCCCCACTACTGTTAATCACATCCAGTGAGCCAATGATGAGAGAGATGGGCTGAGTCACATCTGTGTGTGTGAATGGACACAAAGAGCAGTGGCTCGGGAGCAAGCCTGCTAGAGTATTCTACGTATAGCACTATCCTTTTTAAAGTAGAATACCCCACCAAGTCACTTTCACAATCCTTCCCCTGAAGTACAAATATCACCAAATAAATCTTTCAGTAAACTTGATTTACCCTCTAATAGATATTAGTGTATACAAATAAAGTCCAAAACCAAAAAAAACCAAAAACATCAAAAAATCAAAGTCCAAAAATAAAGTCCCAAAAAAATATTACTTCATAAAAAATCTTTATCTGTAAATTCTTAATTCTTCATATCTTCAAACCATCTTTGTGATATACTTCAAACCAAATCTTCATATACCTCAAAGGAAAAAAACTCAACATGTGTATTATCTCAAAAAGAGGGGTATAAAAAAGCCTGCTAGAGTGCCTGCATAGCAAGCTGCTTGCTATGGGGGCTCTAGGCAGAAGAGAGGAGCCAGGAGCACCATGAGAACAAAAGATGTCTGATCGGCTGCACTCCAAACAATCCACTTTATTGAACCAAGATAAAACCAATACAGACAGTGGAAAGTGGCGAACTGGCAGGTAAGTGCGTTTCATGCTAAAGACAGCGCTTATGCATTACCCCAAGGGGATGGGGCCAGGAGCACCAGTGGGGGGGGGGACTGAGAAGAGGAGGATCAGGGCTGCTCTGTGCAAAACCATTGCACAGAGCAGATACAGTAAGTATGACATGTTTGTTATGTTGTAAAAAATCTGCCTTTACAATAATTTTGATAACATGCAGGGAAGAAGCTTTTATTGAAGGAGAGATATACAGAATCTCTTCTGCCATAAACATCTACCTGCAATTCCTTTAGTTGAGTCTAATTCTGCCTTAACTGTACATTTGTCTAAACTTCCCCACTGATGACAGAACAATGTCAGCAGCATATGTGACAAGAAAGGACATAACCAAGAAAGGAGATCAATCACCAATGGAACTTTAACTAGTTAAGTATAGGAGATGTACTCAAAAAAAATTAATGGAAAGAGCTGGGGAGTACATTATAAGACCTAGACGAACTCCCTGCTGTGCGTGCTTTACAGCTATAATTGCTGGTTTTGCTTTTTTAGCACCTTGGTTCCTGTGTGAATAATGCCTGCAAACAATCTGAACAAGAGGAAGGGTTAGTGTCTCTGTTAGAGTTGTCTACATTGGGAATATTTTACCTCATTTAATATCCATGTGGCCACATGGTCTGAGGAGTCTCCTCAATCAAAGCACAGGCATTCATAAGATAAGATATACAATATCAATACAATATATGTTCAATATAAGATGCAATAAAATATATGTTTTAAACACAATATTAAATTAATAAAACAATTTTGGCCAGTGTTGGACAATTTTTTACATACTGTAATTTACTTGAAACTCTTTTTTACAGTCTAAATCTATATCTTAATCTTTATGTCTTCAAAGCTTATCTTTTTAGAAGAGCTGCCTTCTTTTGACTCAAGGGCCAATCAGAAATATTTTTAAAAAGACAATACCAATTCCATGTTTTCAATAACAGGAATGGTATGGTTTAGTATTGCCAAGGTCTATAACTATTTCTAATTCTGAATACCACCACCAAATCTCTGAGCAGATTCATCAGTGAAGTTTTTCACATCAGTTTAACAAATACAGTATAAATTCTGTATAGTGGGCATACAATGTTGCATTGACCATGTGCAGCTCTGAGAGGCACTCTCACCCTCCCAGTGCAGATACTTGGCCCACAGCAATTATGTGTCCTCGGATTCATAAAAATTTGGGTTCAAAGGGCAGCCCAAATACATTTAGGTCCATATATATTTGGACACAGACACAATTTTAGTTTTTTTTCAGGTATTTACCAAAACTTATTCAAGCTATAGTTATATAATGGATATGGGCTAAAAGTGCACACTCTCAGGATTAATTTGAGGGTATGTACATCCAAATTGGAGGAAGGGTTTAGGAATTACAGTATTTAAGATTAGCCATCCCCCCTTTTGTACGGGACAAAAAGTAATTGTATAATTGAATCAAAAGCTGTTTCATGGTCAGGTGTGGGCTACTGCTTCGTTATTTCTTCATCAATTAAGCAGGGAAAAGGTCTGGAGTTGATTTTAAGTGTGGTATTTGCATTTGGAATCTATTTCTGTGAACCTACTTCACAGTTTGGTACAGTCTGAGGAAAGAAGAAAGCACTGGTGAGCTCAGAAATATAAAAAAAGACATGGACGTCCACGGAAGACAACAGTGGTGGATGATCGCAGGATCCTCTCTATGGTACAGAAAAATCTAATCACAACATCTACAAAGTCTACAATCAGATGACTTCGCGAGAGCAAATACAGAGGGTTCACCACAAGGTGCAAACCATTCATAAGCCTGAAGAATAGACAAGCCAGATTAGACTTTGCCAAAAACCATCTAAAAAAGCAAGACCAGTTCTGGAAATGCATTCTTTGGAGGGATGAAACTAAGATGAATCTGTGCCAGAATGATGAGTTCCTCAACAAAATATTAAAAATGAACATTTTATTTATGATTATATTCATTTGTCCAATTACATTTGAGCCCCTGAAAATGGAGGAACTGTGTATAAAAATGGTTGCAGTTCCTAAAATTTGTACTTGATATTTATGTTCAAACCCTTGAATTAAAACTGCACTTTAAATTCATTTGGATTGTTTCGTTTTAATTTATTCTGGTTGCATACAAAGCTAAAAGTATGAAAATTGTGCCTGTGTCCAAATATATATGAACCTAACTGTATGTATCTGAAGACATAATACATTTTCCTTATCCTTTTTTTTTTCTCAGAACACTAATTATGTTTCTACATACATTCCCTTGTGCAAGTGCTTCAGGGAACAATTTGAAAATAAAATAAATGTAAGTCATTAGCCTATTACTAAAATCTGTGCAGGACTTACCTCCAATTGAGATGACAGTGTCGAAGCACTGGTCTCTAAAAGGCAGATTCAGGTTGTCACACACCATGACCTCAAGGTTGTTATTCCTACCAATCTCCACTAGAGGCTCACAGTAATCACAGCCCAGATTATACGTCTCGGCGTTCACACTTAGGTACTTGCCTGTACCGCAGCCTGCAAAGGGAAAACAGATTGTTGTAAATTTTTCTTGTTACTTTACTGACTTGGTGCATCAAATGGATTTATTTATACAGCAATCTTCTTCAACTCCACATCCAAATGTACGCCTGTGTATTGTCTGCCAGGAAAATAAGGGACTCTGTCACAAAGAAAAGACCAGTCTCAGAAGATTCTAATGGAAGCAGTCATTGCCAATGAAGTTAATCCTATCTCAATTCATGATGAGTAAAGTGAGTAACCTGTAGGTCAGGACATGTCTGCTTCAATCAGAGGTTTCTAAAACAGAAACTTGGCTTGGCTAAAGATTCTCTTTTAAAAATAGAGCTAAAGAGTATGTACTGTAAACCCAATATTTCATATTCCTAATATGTGCTTGCTGTACCATGTACTCATATGAAAAAGTATTCTGTTCTGTTTGTATTGCTTCCTTTGTGTGAAATCCCTGGTGTTCCTGTCAATCCCTCTGCTTTCCTGATCAGTTTTCTAGTTGTGCTGAGAACTCATGCCGCCATCCCCCCCAGCATGACCATTCACTGGGAAGATCAGTCTACTGCTGTTTCTCCTCCTCCAGCTGAGTTTCTTATGCAGCTGAGGGTACATTGGCGAAAATAATTATTTGATCCCCTGCAGATTTTGTATGTTTGCCCACTTACAAAGAAATGAAGGGTCTATAACTTTTATCATAGGTGCATTTTAAATGATAGAGACAGAGTAGCAACCAAAAATCCAGAAAAAAACACACATGATACAAATGTTATAAACTGATTTACAGTTTAGTGATAAAATAAGTATTTGATCTCCTACCAATCAACAATAATTTTGGCTCCCACAGACTGTTTATGTGCTCATGTGGTTCACAGATTAGTCCTGTCAACTGTCAATTGCTGGAGCGAATATTCACAAATAGAAGAAATACAAAATAACCATCAATTGCCCTCAGTCTGGAGCGCCATGCAAGATTTTGCCTCATGGGGTAATTATGATCATGAGAAAAGTGAGGGATCAGCCCAGAACTTCACAGGAGGAGCTTGTGAATGATCTTGATGCAGTTGGGACCACAGTCACCAAACAAACTATTGGTAACAAAATACACTGCCATGGATTGAAATCCTGCAGCGTCCACAAGGTCCACCTCCTTAAGAAGGCACATGTACAGGCCCATCTGAAGTTTGCCAATGAACATCTAAATGATTCAGGGAAGGATTGGGAGAAAGTGCTGTGGTCAGATGAGACCAAAATTGAGCTCTTTGGCATTAACTTGACTCGCTGTGTTTGGAGGAAGAAAAATGATGACTATGACCCTAAGAACATCATTCTTACAGTCAAGCAGGGGATGACAGGGGAATTCAAGAGGTGGAAACAACATGCTTTGGGGCCATTTCTCTGCTAAAGGTACAGGCCAACTTTGCTGCACTGAGGGGCCAATGGATGGGGCCATGCATTATAAAATCTTGGATGAGAACCTTCTTCCCTCAGCCAGAACACTGAAGATGGGTCATGGATGGGTTTTCCAGCATGACAATGACCCAACACATACCACCACGGCAACGAAGGAGTGGCCCAAGAAGAAGCACATTAACGTCATTGAGCGGCCTACCCAGTCTCCAGACCTAAATCCTATAGAAAATTATGGAGGGAGCTGAAACTTCGAGTTGCCAAGCACAGCCGGGAAGCCTTAAGTATTCAGAGAAGATCTGTAAAGAAGAGTGGACCAAATCCCTCCTGAGATGTGTGACAACCCTGTAACCAACTGCAAGAAACGTCTTACCTCTGTGCTTGCCAACAAGGGTTTCTCCACCAAGTACTAAGTCATGTTTTCTTGGGGATCAAATACTTATTTTACTCACTGAACTGCAACTCAGTTTATAACATTTGTACCATGTGTTTTTTTTCTGGATAAGTTCACGTTTTAACCAAAAAATAAATAAATGCAAATTTTTCTGAAGGTAAAAAAATTAGCATTTACTATTTTTGTTTGCGGGAGCCTGTAAAGCATTGAACTAGTGATTAGCAGATAACTGGTGCCATGCAGGTCTCCTGCAGACCTGTTCAGTGTATCTGTGTGTACCTTGTATGGGCAAGCAGATGCTTACTGACAGGAAGACTCAATGAACTACCACGGCGCTCCACAGTGCTGTGGTAATTCATTGAGAACTACAAGCTGACAGCCGCTAAGGCTGTTGGAACTTGTAGTGTCCTCATTCACAGAATACACAGCTGAGCGGGCCTCAAATGGCCACTTTTTTTTTAAAATTGTGACAGCTAGCAGGAGGGAGAAAATCCTCCACTAACTGTCACAACAAGGATTGGGGGTGCGGAGGCCAGTCTATTCGAAACATGTTACATGTTACACCTTGAACATGGGTATAACATGTAACAAGTTACAAAAGGTGAACTTATCCTTTAAATGCATATGTACTAATACAAAAAATATATGTATATTCAACATCAGCCCAGACATATACATAAATACAAAACAGATTATATCAGTGGCAGTATAGGATGAAAGCTCCAGAACCCCAATGTTTCGGTGCATATCACATCTCTTTCTAAGGAGGGAGATTCGGGAATATAAGGTGCAGAACCACAACATTTTAAGGTGTATCATACTCCTTGCTCAAGAGGGAGCTGTTTGTACAGTAGGTCCCAACCATTTCTAAATGCCATGGACTCCCCATCTGACTCTAAAAGTGATGGCACAGTGCGTTACTTCCAGTGCAACAGAGGTCCCAGCAATTGCCAACTAGGAAAGGTGGCAGCAACACGGATACGCACAGACAGGTATCCAGCATGCCCTGATATACTTACATTTCTCAGAACATGGAATAAAAAAAAGTTTCAAATATAGGATTTTTGGCTGTCTTTAGGAAATGAAACACTGGAAAACAATACCTGTAAGTACACAACAGTATAACTCCTACCACTCCCAGGGTGCCTCACATTTATATTAAGCAATAGTAGTGGATCATAAGAACACAAAAACACAGTAGTAAGAGAATGTAAAGAAAGTAGGTTATATGGTTGTCAATGTCATAGTTCACATCAGTGCTTGCAGTTCCAGTGTGTTGCAGTTGCAGAAAAAAAAGTAGAACATGCTGCATTTTTTCCTGCACAGAACTCTACTGGAAAGCAGTAAAACGCATCAAAAACACACCATAATGCACTAGAACGCACCAAAAATGCAGTGGAATGCACACGTCCCATTTAAATTGCAGAAAAGGAGATGGGGGAAAAAAATTAACCGGAAAAATGCATTCAAAATGAACCGGAACAAGTAAAAAATGTACATGTGGAAATGCAAAAGGAACGCATATAACTGCGTTTCTATAGTGTGAACCGGTCCTTAAAGCAGTAGTAAAGTGTGGAAAAAGAAAAACCTTTCCCCTACAAGTTAATGTCAAAATGTGCTAGTATGCATTGCATATTAACACATATTGAGACTTACCTTAAAACAAAGCCCTCCAGTGGCATGCTGTCATCGCTGACAGGGTTTCCATCTTCAGCAAAAAAAACCCGTGAAAAGAGATTCACAAAGAAAAGTGGTGACATGAAGGACAAATGCGATACTCAAATAGTCATCAAAGCTTTATTGGCAAAGTTGCACGTAGAAGACAATTGAGTCAAGACTGCAAGTAGCAATCACCTCAATAAAGGGCAATACACAAGACAACCTTAAAACAAAAAAAAATATTAAAAAAGAGACATCATGGCAAGCCACAAGTGATGCTATGCTATAAGAGCAACGACTCACAGGTCTTTTGCGTCAATAGCAGAGGCACATTGGTGTACACCACCACAGTGGGGAAATATATATGAGATGGAAACATATGCAGCAGGCTGTACATCAATCATATGAAGATGTGAAACTCCAAGATAGCTGGATATAGGAGCCTATTAGACAATGCTAAGGAGTTGAATTAACCAACTATAATATACAGGTGAAACTCGAAAAATTAGAATATCATGCAAAAGTTCATTTATTTCAGTAATGCAACTTAAAAGGTGAAACTATTATATGAGATAGACTCATTACATGCAAAGCAAGATAGTTCAAGCCGTGATTTGTCATCATTGTGATGATTATGGCTTACAGCTCATGAAAACCCAAAATCCACAATCTCAGAAAATTAGAATATTGTGAAACGGTGCAATATTCTAGGCTCAAAGTGTCCCACTCTAATCAGCTACAGTTGCAAGAAAAAGTATGTGAACCCCTTGGGATTACGTGGAGTTTTGCATGAATTGGGCATAAAATGTGCTCTGAACGTCATCTAAGTCACAACAATAGAACACAGTCTGCTGAACATAAAACTACACAAACATTAGATGTTGCCATGGTTTAATTGCACATAACATGTAAACATTCACAGTGCAGGGAGGAAAAAGTATGTGAGGCCCTAGCTTAATGACTTCTCCCAGAGCTAATTGGAGCCAGGAGTGAGCCAACCTTGACTCCAATCAGTGTGATGATATTGGATGTGTTGCTGACAGCTGTCCTACCCTTAAAAAACACACACCTGTTTTGGGTTTACTGGTTTCAAGAAGCACTGTCTGATGTGAACCATGCCTCGCAGAAAAGAGCTCTCAGAAGACCTACGATCAAGAATTGTTGATTTGCATGAAGCTGGAAAGGGTTACAAAAGTATCTCCAAAAGCCTTGATGTTCATGTGTCCACGGTAAGACAGACTGTCTACAAATGGAGAAAGTTTAGCACTATTGCTACTCTCCCTAGGCGTGGACGTCCTTCAAAAATGACTGCAAGAGCACAGCGCAGAATGCTGCATGAGGTAAAGAAGAATCCCAGAGTGTCAGCTAAAGAGCTACAGAAATCTCCGGCACATGCTAACATTTTTGTTGACACATCTACAATAAGGAACACATTAAACAAGAATGGCGTACATGGGAGGACACCACTGAGGAAGCCATTGCTGTCCAAAAAGAATATTGCAGCACGTTTGAAGTTTGCAAAAGAGCACCTGGATGTTCCACAGCA